GTTTGGTGGTGGGCAGGGGGTAGAGGTGGATTTGGGAGGGCGGGCAGGAGTAGCGGTGGATTTGGTAGGGTGGGTAGGGGTGGAGGTGGGTTTGGGAGGTGGGTAGGTGGAGGTGGGTTTGGTAAAGGTGACCAGGGATAGAGGTAGGGTAGGTTAGGTAGGGTAGCAGGTAGGGTAGGTAGGTAGGGCACGGGGCAGAACCAATAAGGGCGGGAGGGGGGGGGGGTGAGGTTAGCGATTGTAAGGGTAATCTCTCTAAATATCTCCCTTTTACATGCTAGCTCTATAGAGCTTGTTTAAACATGACTTACTCTATGGCTGTGTATAACGGCAAAGGAACAAACAATGTACTAACAAACTCAATCACAAACATGCAAGAAACTCAAAATCGACAGAGAACAATTATTAACATTAGGGAAGACAGAGTAGCGATCACACACACACACACACACACACACACACACACACACCACACACACACACACACACACACACACACACACACACACACACACACACACACAACACACACACACACACGATCATACAACAACCACCCCACACACAACACCCAAAGACCCACCACTCACACACCGCAGACCCCCACATACGCAGACCAAAGCCCACACTCACACCCGCAGACCCCCACAGACGCAGACCCAAAGACCCACACTCACACCCCGCAGACCCCCACAGACGCAGACCCAAAGACCCACACTCACACACCGAGACCCCACAGACGCAGACCCACCAGCACGACCCACAGAGACCCACCACCACACCCCCAAGCAGACCCCCACAGACGCAGACCCCCATAAGACCCCACTCACACCACGCAACGCAGACCCAAGACCCCACACTCACACACCGCAGACCCCCACAGACGAGACACCAAAGACCCACACTCACAACGCCCCCGCACAGACGCAGACCCAAAGACCCACACTCACACACCGCAGACCCACAGACGCAGACCCAAGACCCACACTCACACACCCCGCAGACCCCCAAGACGCAGACCCAAAAGACCGCAGACCCCCACAGACGCAGACCCAAAGACCCACACCACACAACCCGCAGACCCCCACAGACGCAGACCCAAAGACCCACCGCAGACCCCCACAGACGCAGACCCAAAGACCCACACTCACACACCGCAGACCCCACAAGCAGACCCAAAGGACCCACACTCACTCTCCGCAGACCCCCACAGACGCAGACCCCCACACTCAGAGACCCACCGCAGACCCCAAGACCCACACTCACCACACCGCAGACCCCACAGACGCAGACCCAAAGACCCACACTCACACACCGCAGACCCCCACAGACGCGACCCAAAGACCCACACTCACGCTAGACCCCACAAACGCAGACCAAAAGACCCACACACACCCCGCAGACCCCCACAGACGCAGACCCCAAAGACACACTCACACCCGCCCAGACCCCCACAGACGCAGACCCAAAGACCCACACTCACACACCGCAGACCCCCACAGACGCCCCCAAAGACCCACACTCACCACAGACGCCCCCACAGAGACCCAAAGACCCACACTCACACCCGCAGACCCCCACAGACGCAGACCCAAAGACCCCACACTCACACCCCGCAGACCCCCACAGACGCAGACCCAAAGACCCACACTCACACCCCGCAGACCCCCACAGACGCAGACCCAAAGACCCACACTTCACACCCCGCAGACCCCCACAGACGCAGACCCAAGACCCACATCACACCCCGCAGACCCACAGACGCAGACCCAAAGACCCACACTCACACCCCGCAGACCCCCACAGACGCCAGACCCAAAAGACCCACACTCACACCCGCAGACCCCACAGACGCAGACCCAAAGACCCACACTCACACCCCGCAGACCCCACAGACGCAGACCCCCACACTCACACCCCGCAGACCCACAGACGCAGACCCAAAGACCCACACTCACACACCGCAGACCCCACAGGACGCAGACCCAAAGACCCACACTCATACCCGCAGACCCCCACAGACGCAGACCAAAGACCCACACTCACACCCCGCAGACCCCCCCCCCACAGACGCAGACCCAAAGACCCACACCACACCGCAGACCCCCACAGACGCAGACCCAAAGACCACACTCACACCCCGCAGACCCCCACAGACGCAGACCCAAAGACCCACACTACACCCCGCAGACCCCACAGACCAGACCCAAAGACCCACACTCACACCCCGCAGACCCCCACAGACGCAGACCCAAAGACCCACACTCACACCCCGCAGACCCCCACAGACGCAGACCCAAAGACCCACACTCACACCCGCAGACCCCCACAGACACAGACCCAAAGACCCACACTCACACCCCGCAGACCCCCACAGACATCCCCAATCCCCAGCCGCCCGAGCAAAACCGGAACACCTGCACGCGCGAGGTGGGCATCTGCGGCTCCCCGCCCTTTGGCCTTTCAAACCGTGGTCCTCAAGCCCCGACGGCTGAATACTGTATGGCGGCTCTGTTTCCATACGGATACGGGAGAGAGGGAGAGAGGAAGGGGGCGAGAGGGAGAGAGAGAGAGGAGGGGGCGAGAGGGAGAGAGGGAGAGAGGAAGGGGCGAGAGGGAGAGAGAGGGGAGAGGGAGAAGGAAAGGAGAGAGTGAGAGAGAGAGTGTGAGGAAGGGAGAGAGAGAGGATTAGGAGAGGGCAGAGAGGAAGCGGGAGAGAAGGATAAGGAGAGAGAGAAAAAAAAAATGGGGAGAGAGGGGATATGGAAAGGGAGAGATAGGGAGGAAAGGGGGAGAGAATCGCCATGGATTTAGGCGAAACCGAGGAAATAAGAGACAGAGAGGAAAGGAGGATAGAGAGAAGAGGGAAATGGAAGGGAGAGCATGATGATGGCGGGGTGGGGGGGGTGGGGTGGGGGTGGGGGGTACACTATGCACATATTTCATGTGAATAAACTGCATCCTTTGTTGGCTGCATGAAAACATTTTGGAAAAAGGTTTCGAGAGTTTTCGAATTTTCCGGAGAGAGCCTACGCTGTTCTTCGGAACATATTGTTTAAAGGGTCAAACATATTATCCTTCGATTTCTTCATATAACAATGATGATATCCATAATCATAATAAAAACAGTAATACCGATTATAACAGTAACAGTAATAGTAGTAATGATAATGATAAATAATGTTAGTAATGATAAAAATAAACAACAATATTCATAATAGTAATGATGAAAGCGATAATAACAATGATAATAATAATAATAACGATAACAATAATAAAAACAACAATGATAATGATAATGACAATAAGTGATATTACTGCTACTGTCGCTGATTATGATGATGATGAAAAAAGTGAACCATTATAATAAATAATAATAATGATAACAAATATAAACACATGTGTGTACATACACACAAACACATATACATACACACAGCATACATACAAGCAATTGCTGGAACAGCGTGAAGTATGTGTTTGCGTGCCTGTGTGTTTGTTCGTGTGCGTGCGTAAATTCCGTTTGTGGGCTCAAGTATGAAGGAAAAAACACTCATGTGTGGGGCAAAGGGTGCGTGTATGTAGCCACTAAAGGAGGAGGAGGAGGAGGAGGAGGAATAGGAGGAAGGAGGAGGAGGAATATGAGGAAGGAGGAGGGGGAAGGAAGAGAAAGAGGAGGAAGTGGAAGAGGAGAAAGGAGGGGGAGGAGACCGAAGAAGAGGAGGAGGAGGAGAAGGAGGAAGGAAACGAAACAGACAGAGGAGGAGGAGGAGGAAAAATAAAAATAAACTAAACAGAGAGCTTACGAACAGAGAGAGAGAAAAAATACGATAATAAGAATAACACCAAAGAAAAAAACACGCAAGAAAGAAAATAAAAGAGACGAAAGCACGGCGCAGGCACGGAGAAGGCGAGGGTCGAAGGCAAGCGGTTTTGTAAGCATGCGCGCCCAAGCAACGGCGATCACTCCCAAGCACCACGGTTCGACTCCACCCATAAAAAACGCCACAATTCTGCCGCACATATTTCTGCGAATTCATTTTCATTCTTCTGCTGGGGGTGGGGGGGGGGGGGGGCTTTCTACTTTTTATTCTCACCATTTTTTTTCTTTCCCTGTTTTCATTTTCATGTATATTTTCACTTCTTGTTCTTGTTTGGTTCTTCCTTTCTTTTAGCGAATTAATTTCTGTAAGCGGGGAGAAAGGTGTTGCTTTCTTTCTTTCTTTCTTCTTCTCTTTCTTCTTTCTTTCTCTCTCTCTCTCTCTCTTCTCTCTCTCTCTCTTCTCTCTTCTCTCTCTCCCTCCCTCCCATCTCTACAAATTACTTCCACTTCACCTCTACACCACTTACCACCATATCACACCCCCTCCCCCTGTCGCCCTCCCTCTCTCTCCTTCCTCGTCCCCAATCCCATATTTCACGTTTATCGCTCCATCAATCGCTCCCTCCTCTCTTCTCTCTCTTATCTTCTACTGTTATTCACCAATTCATTTTCCTCGTCGTTATCGGATTATGCTCTTCAGTTACTGGTATCCTCTCTTGCGCAATACCTCTTTCTTATCTCATCTACTTTTCTCTTCTCTTTTTCTTATCATATTTTGTTAATGGCATTATTGTAGTTGCTATTGTTTTCACAAAAGTCATATCGATAACAATAACTGTTATCATCACAATTATCATGTCGTTTTAAGTGCCATAATCATCAATGTTTTCCTTTTACTCGATCAAAATGTCCACCATATTACCACTATCATCCCCATTACTATCGTCGCGACCAAATCACCAAAACATTTTTTATTGATTATTATTACGAGTGTCGTGGCAATCACTATCACATTAAACATTGTTAACATTAGCACAATCATTCCTTGCTTATCGTTATCATTACTCAAACTTTTTTTCCTCACTAGGGCGACATTCCCTATCGTTTCTCTCCCTCCTTCTCCGGCTCCCTGCTCTTACCTTCTTCTCCTTTTCTTCCACCGTCTCCCCTTTCTTCCTGATCTACTTCCCCTCCTCCTCCTCCTCCTTATCCCTTCTTCCACTTTCCCCTCTCCTCCCTCCTTTCCTACTATTCCTTCTCCATCCTCTTTCTTGCACCTCTTCCCTTATCTCCTACTCCTATTCCTTCACCTCCTCCTCCTCTTCTTTCTTCTCACCCTTACCTCCTCATCTTCCCCTCCTCCTCCTCCTCCTCCTTTTTCTCCTTCTTCTCCTCCTCCTCCTCCTTTCCCCTCTTCCCTCTCCACTCACTCTCCACTAAGCCCATTGTCTTCATTAAAAAAGAGAGAGGCTTTATGTACTTTATTCTTGTTTAACCAATAGCTTAACATTTTCGACAAACTCAAAAAACAAGCGTTTTAAAAGGCAATAATAATAATGGCATTTAGAACCGCCAGGAAATAAGTTTTTCGTTCCTTTCTTTCTTAAATAACAGACATTTTATGGTGTCCTATTTCCTCCATCTCTCTTCCCCCTCCCTCCCTCCTATTTCTTCGCCCTCTTTCCGTGCCCTCCTTTTCCTCTTTCCTTCTCCCTTCCTACCACCTTCGCTCCCTCCCTTCCTTCTCATCTTCCCCTCCTCTCCCTCATTCACTTCCCCTTCCCCATTTCCCCTTCTTTCCTCTATCCTTCTTCCCCCTTTTCCTCCATCTCCCTCCCACTCACCCCTCTTCCACCCCACCCCTCCCTTCCCCTCCCTCTCAAACTAAACACTCCCTTTTTTATTGGCTTATCCCCCCTCCCTTTCTCTCCTCCTCCCTTCCCCTCCCCTTCTTTCCTTTTCTCTCCTCCTCCCCTCTCTCCCCTTCCCCCCTTCCTCCCCCCCCCCCCCCGCCCTGCCTTGGTGTCGACGCTGAATATTCATGTTCTTGTCTCCGGGATGATGGTGTTATTATCATTCATTACGGGGCGGCGCTCGGGCTTATTTTCACCGGGACGCGGTCATTAATCGATCACTCTCCCCCAGACCGGCGGGGTTTTAATTTGAATGTTTTATTTTTCTGTATTCTTTTTTTCTTCTTCTTTTCTTTTTCTTTTCATATTACTTCATTTATTTGCTAATTTATTTTCTGTATTTTTTCTTGTTTGTCCGACGCGAACAGGTGTTTTAATTTGGACTGTTATTCTTTTTTCTTCATTCTTTCTTATTTTCTTGTTTTACTTTTTTCTCGTTTAACGCTGAATGCGACCGAATCTTTCTTCCACTCTCACTGATTTGTCTCTCGCTCTTACACTTACCTGTTGATGATGGTAATAATCTTAATAATAATAACAAATAATAATAATAATAAAAATAATGATAATAATAATAATAATAATAATAATAATGATGAAAATTATAACAATAACAATAATAACAATGATAATAATAGTAACAAAAATACTGCTAACAATTACAGTCATAGTCATTATCATCAACATGATCGCTATATAACCATCACCAACCTTCATCATCATCAAAATGACGAGTGGTGATAATATTCATAAGGAAAATGAATTATGATAACAGCAATATATAAATAAATAATATAAAAGAATAAGAAAGATAAAAAGAATGAACGAGATAGCGAAAGAGAGATAGAGAATGAAAGAATAGATGAAATAAAACAAAAAGAAAGAAAGAAAGAAAAGGAATAAAGGCGCACCTGATGAACAAACACAAAACAAAACAAAACAAAACAAAAAAAAAAACCGACGCCCACTTAAGTCTCCCTTCTCCCCCCCTCCTTCCCCCCCACCCCCTCCCCACACTCCATCCTCCCCCCCCCCACCCCACCCCTCTCGTGTTTTCGCGGAAGTTACATTGTTGTTCATCGCGCGTCGCTGTGTTCTGCGAACGCGTCTCTCTCGCGACTCGCCATTTCGCGCTCCGAGACTTGTGTTCAACGGAAGGACAATGGCGCCGGTGAACAGGTCTGGCTGGGTGTTCTTCTCGGCCAGGCAGCCGGGACGAGTTCTCCTAATGTGCTGGGGTGCGCGCGCGTGTCGGTGGGAATGCGTGTGCTTTGCGTTACTGTGTATTCCGGAATACATACATACATACATACGTACATGCATACATACATACACACACACACATATATGCATATATACATACATATACATACATACATACATGCATACAAACATATGCAAACATAAACACACACACACACACACACACACACACACACACACACACAACACACACACACACACACACACACACACACAGGTCCCCGGCCGCGTTAGGCACCAGAGCTAACGCTGAATAATTCACACGTGTCATATGCCAGTCACTCACGTCATATGAATCATCGGCGGCCTTTGACATGAAGATATCAAGTGATAGGAAGGAAGACGAAGGAAGAGCGACGTGGGGAAGGAGAGATGGAGAGAGGCATGGAATTGTGAGAGAAGGGGAACGGAGGAAGAGAGGGATGGAAGGGGAGGGAGGGAGGGGAGGGAGGGGAGGGAGATGGAGAGGAAGAGGAAGAGGAAGAGGAAGAGAGAGAGGAG